GTGTCTGAGTGCGCGCGTGCGCGTCTGCATCTGCGTGTGCGTGTGCGTGAGCGCGTGCGTGTGCGGGTGCCTGTGAGTGCGCACGTGCGTGCGCCTGTGCCTGTGCGTGTGCGTGCACGTGCGCGTGCGCATGTGCGCGCGCGTGTGCTCGTGCGCGTGCGCGTGCGCGTGTGCGTGCGCGGGCGCGTGCGCGTGTGCGCACGCGTGTGCGTGTGCAGGTGCGTGCGCGCGTGCGCGTGCGTGGGCGCGGGCGTGGGCGTGGGCATGGGCGCGGGCGTGAGCGTGCGCGAGCGCGTGTGCGTAGGCATGCGCGCGTGCGTGCGCGCGCGCGTGCGCGTGCGTTTGCGCGTGCGTGTGCGTGTGTGCGTGTGCCTGTGCGTGCGCGTGTGCATCTGCGCGCGCATGTGTGGTCCTGTGCCTGTGCCTGTGCCTGTGCGTGCGCGTGTGCATGTGCGTGTGCCTGTTCGGGTGCGGGTGTGCGAGAGTGTGGGCGCGTGGGCGTGCGGGCGTGTACGTGTGTGTGTGTACGTGTGTGTACATGTGTGTACATGTGAGTACGTTTTGTACGTTGTGTACGTGCACCTTAACATTTGCGTGTACGTGTACGTGTACGTGTACGCGTGCGTGTACGTTTACGTGTACGTGTACGTGTACGCGCGCGTGTACGTGTACGTGTACATGTACGTCCACATACACGTGCACGTGAATGTGGACGTTGACGTATACGTGTGCGTGTAGGTACGCCGTGTAAGTGCAGGTACGCGTAAATGTATGTGTGTGTGTGTCTGTGTTTATGTTTGTGTCTGTGTCGGTGTGCTTGTGTGTGATTGTGTGTCTGTGTGTGTGTCTGAATGTGTTTGTGTGTGGTTGTGCGTATGTGTGTGTGTGTCTGGTAATGTGTTTGTGTGTTTGTGTGTTTGTGCGTCCGGTCGTGTGTACTTGTGCACACGTGTGTGTGATTGTGTGTATGTGCGTGGGTCCGTGTGCGTGTGTGCTTGTGGTTGTGATTATGTTTGTGTGTGGTGTATGCGTGTGTGTGTTCAGTTTGTCTGTTTGCGCGTATGTGATTGTGTGTTCGCGTGCGATTGTATGTGGTTGTGGTTGTTTGTGTGGTTCTGTGTACGTGATTGTGTTTGTGAGTGTTTTGTGTCTGTTTGTGTGTGTTTGTGCGTTTGTGATTGCATTTGCCTAGCTACCCCCTTGCTAGGTATAGATGAGCGCCAACGCTGCTGATGGCCCCTCCCTTGTGGCGGCGGCTGTGCAGGCGGCGATCCGGGAGGGCGCCCCGAGGCGCACTGTTGCTGCTGTGGCTGCGGCGGTTGCCGGCACTGTGGTGTCTGCGACTGCTCGGCCCTCCGTGCCAGCGACTATGCACAAGGAGCGCGCTCAGGATGCACAGGGCGAAGCTGAAGACTCCGACGATCCTGTACAATTGTTGGAGAAACTTCGTGCAGCACGCCGTGCCCAACGACTCCGCAAGAAGGAGAAGCGCAGGACAGCCAAGCAGGTGGCTCAAGATGGTCCAGCCTCTCCTATTCTTCCTGATGGCCTTCAGCCTCTCGTTGAAGCCATTCCACCTCCAGCAGGTGCAGCCGGCCCAAGCGCAGACCTCGGGGGAAGTCTTGCTGCAGAGCCCGCTCCGGCACTTGCTCTACGTTCAGGCGCTGATTCACCCTCACAGTCTGCAGGTACCCTCAATTCCCGGCACCAGCTCCCCGAGTCTATGGCTGGGAGTGCAATTGGCGCCAGTTCTTGCCACACACTGGGGCGAGAACCATCAGGGCCACCTGCACGTGCCAAAGATCCTGCACGATCTAGTGCACACCAACAGGGAGCTTCGTCAGGGAAGCCTTCCTTTGGACGTGTTGAGGGCGATGCTGGACCCAAATCTGGCCGGCCTCAGCCTTACCCGGGACGGAAGAAGTAGCCTGCCCCTCTTCCGTTCATGCGGCAGTCCCGACACTGCCGTTTCCATATGTGCTCAGGTATTCCAGTTGGGTGGCTGCATACTTCAAGCAACTCTGCTGCGTGTACTTCAAGTTCCTGAGGCAGAGCAACTTCTGAGGGGTGCCCTTTCTTACCTCTTCGGCTACGTTCCAACGTGAGCCCATCATAGGCCGCGATTGCTGCACCAGGCCTCTAAGCAGCCTGACTCCTTCGTTTTTCTTGTGGCTGGGCAGCCCCCAGTCTTTTCCATATCGTGTGTTTGTGAATTTGTGTGTATGTTTGTGCGTGTGTTTGTGTTTGTGTGCGTATATGTGTGTTGGTGTGTTTGTGTGTGAATGTGGCTGTGTGTGTGTGTGTGTCAGTGTGTGTGGTGTGTGTTTGTGTGTTTGTGTGTGCTTGTGTGTTTGCGTGTGCTTGTATGTGCTTGTGTGTTTGTTTCTGTCTGTGTGTGCTTGTGCGTGTGTTGCTTTGTCTGCTTTTCCTCGGGTTTTCACTGGTTCCGCCCCGGAAGGGACGATTGGGAGGAGGAGCAGGAGGAGGAAGAGGAGGAACAAGATGGAGGAGGGAGAGAGAGAGAGGGAGAAAGGGTGGAAGAAGGGCGACGAGAGAGAGAGAGAGAAGGGGAGAGGGAGAGATGATGGAACAGGGTGGCGATGAGGTGGCATGGAGCTGGTTCGAGTGACTTACGCCCGCCCTCATCTTGCAGTGGGTCCCCCTTGGCCCCGAGGCCCCGCGGCCCGCGCCTTCTGAGCAGCAGGGGTGCTTCGAAGAGGCCCCCCCTCCTCCACCAAACACCCCCCACCCTCCTTGCCAGCGCTCGGACGTCCATCTCTCGTGTATTCCTCGACTTCGCGCGCGCAGTTTGTTCGCGAGACGGTCCCCCCATATTCGGCAGTGGACAAACCTCCCTTTAGTAAACCTCCCCTTAGTGAAAACGGCCTGGGACCGAAACCGACGGACCTGGACCCGCAAAAATGACGGCCGCGGCGCCCTCTCGTGAACCGAAAACGGCCAATTCCTCAATCGACGTGTCAGGGTAGGGGGTCGATCCACCTCCGACATATGCTCCTCGAGGGCCCCGGCCTGAAAAGCGACGCCAGGCCCTCTGTGCGTGGCTGTGGGTGGGGTGGCGGCTGGCGGCGGCCATGCAGCCCCGCGGGAAGCTGGGACGAGGACAGAATTGGGTGGGGATAAATCGAGAATCAGGAGGAGGAGGAGGAGGAGGAGCAGGAGGAGGAGGAGGAGGAGGAGCCTCTGAGCAGGGATGAACGTTCAGGGTGTTTCTCGTGTTGGTTTTGCGTTCGTGCTTCCTCGTTTCGGCTGCGCTCCGCCTCGCATGCAAAACGAAACGCAGCACAAGGCGGCCCCCGAGATGGCCAAAACACCGTTTGGGTCGAGCCATGCCTCAGAGATCTGGCGGCCTTGGAAGATGTCTCGGGCGCCGCGGCCCTCTCAGAGTGTTCCGGAAGCCGGAGCGCTCTGAGAGCGTTCCGTAACGCTCCGGAAGGGATTATATTTTGGAATGCCGAAGCGGTGCGGTCACAGACCGTGCGGTGACCTCGAAATCCCCAAGACCTCACCGCACGGTCCGTCAGCGCACGGTCTTGGGATCTCGGAGGCCCCCGTCGCCCGAGGCGTCCTGGGACAACGACCCGAGTCCCAAAACCGTGCGGTGACCCCGAATCCCCACCGACTCACCACTTTGGACGCCCGAAATGGGTACCGAAAAGAATGGGCACTATGCCCAACAGCAAATGCTGTCCCAAACCAACAGCGGCCGCTGTTGGGCAGGCGGCCTCCTGCCTCGAATGGACACAGGCCGCGGCGGCGCGGACAGCGAGTCCTGTTCAGAATGAACAGGAACTGCTGTTGGGCATTGTACCCATTCTTTCGGTACCCATGTCGGGCGTCCAGAACCACACGGTGCGGTCACCACCCCGCTTGGGGGCCCCCGGTAGATCCTCGTCCTGGGCCCCGCGGGGAGGCGCCCGGAGGCGCGCCGTGCCGCCCTCCTGCGGCAAAGGCGGCACGCGCACGCCCTGGGAGCCCAGGCGAGGCCCAGGAGGAGACCAGAACCCGGATGAGGATGCACGAGAACACCTGAAGGGGGCCCTGGGACACAGGAACAAAGACGCACAAATCCCAGGATTCCCCATATATTTCCCCCATATGTTCTGGGTTTTAGTCTTCCCCCCCAGTTCCCATAGTTTCCCATATTTCCCGGGGGATCGACGATTGATTGTGTCTGTGTTTGTTCCCCTCCTGACGGATGAGGATGCACGAGAACATTTTGGGTGGCCCAAAAGGGGGTCCAGCTGAAAATGGGTGGTGCAATAAATTTTGGGCGATTGTATTGCAAATGTGTTGCGCCAGAGGATTGGATTGCATTGTATTGCGAGTGATGTATGGCACGCGAAGATCCAGCAATACATGTGCGCCCGGGCATGTATCGCACGCCCCAAATGCATTGCAACCCCGCAGATCTAGTGCACCAACTCTATTGCACCACCCCCTTGCCACTGGACCCCCTTTGGGGTCAAGCCGAAACATCCAATTAGCATGAAGCACGTGAGGCATCCGCCCCGAACCGACCTCGGTTAGATGCCTTGGTCCGACCCTGCTCCGACCTCACCTTCGAGACCTGCACGTTCCCCTCAGAGGGGGGCGCCTAGAAGGCGAAGCCAGGGCGAGGAGAAGATCGGGAAGGGATACATCGAGAATCTCTGAGATCCCGCGGCTCTGGCGGATGTCTCGGGCGCCGCGGCCTTCTCAGAGCGCTCCGGACCGCTCTGAGAGCGTTCCGGAACGCTCTGGAACGGATGTATACTCGTCCCAGGCCCAGCCGACGCATGCGCCCTACGCCCAGAGATGCCCCGAGAACTATCCTGGACGAGCGGCTAGAGGGGGCGCCTAAGAGGAGAGGGGCCGAGGGGAGGGAAGGAGGAGGGGAGCAGGGAGGTAGGCGGGGAAGAGGGAAAGATAGGAGGGAAAGAGGAGGGAAAGAGGAAAGAGGAGGAGGAGGGGAAGAGGAGGAGGAGGGGAGGATAGGCGTCCTCGGCTTCTTCTCGGGGCTGGGCTCCTTCGCGGACTCGGAGCCGCTGGAGTCCGAGCGCTTCTTGGCCGGCTCCTTCTCCTTCCGCCTGCCGGCGGCGCGCCGAGGAGGGGGGAGGGCCCACCCTGAGCTCCTCGCGCCCCGTTCTCTTCTTTCTGAACCCTCCTTGGTTGGGTATTCGTTTTGAATGAGGGGGTGTGGTCTCCACCTGCCTTCCTCCCGCCTCCCTCCCTCCTCCTGCGTCCGCCGAGGGGGGGGGGAGGGCCCACCCTGAGATCCTGGCGCCCCGTTCTCTTTTTTCTGAACCTGCCGTTTTCGCCCAGCTTGTGGCCCCGGGACCATCGCAGATCGGTGCGGCCCTAAAAATGGATCAGGAAGATGGGGTCTAAGGTGAGGTCGGGCATGTCCCCCTACAGGCGGATTCTCAACGAACAATATAGCAAGAGAATGCACCAAAGTTATCAAACAAAATCCAAACAATCGTCCCCACATTCTTTCCCAACCCTCCTTGGTTGGGTATTCGTTTTCGATCGAGCACTGCGCTCGCGTCCTCCTCCTCCCCCTCCTCCCGCCTCCCGCCTCCTGTCTCCCACTTCCCTCTTGTCTCCTCCTGGCTTGCGCGTACTGCAAAACTGTCGCCACCTTCGAAGGCTGCCGTAGCTCGCCGTCCCTGGGGGGCTGCGATCTACGAAACGTTTGCCATTTTCGAGGGCTGCGGGTGGATCCAGCGGAGTGAAGCACCGCGCAGGTCTGAGCGGTAGCTCGCCGTCAATGGGGTGCTGCGATCTGCGAAATTGTCGCCACTTTCGAGGGCTGCTGGTGGGCCCAGCGGAGTGAAGCACCGCGCAGATCTGAGCGGTAGCTCGCCGTCCCTTGGGGGCTGCGATCTGCGAACCGATCGCCACTTTCGAGGGCTGCTGGTGGGTCCAGCGGAGTGAGGCACCGCGCAGATCTGAGCGGCAGCTCGCCCCGTCCCTAGGAGGCTGCGATCTGCGAAATTGTCGCCACTTTCGACGGCTGCAGGTAGGTCCAGCGGAGTGAGGCACCGCGCAGATCTGAGCGGTAGCTCGCCGTCCCTTGGGGGCTGCGATCGGCGAAATTGTCGCCACTTTCGAAGGCTGCTGGTGGGTCCAGCGGAGTGAGGCACCGCGCAGATCTAAGCGGTAGCTCGCCGTCCCTTGGAGGCTGCGATCTGCGAACCGATCGCCACTTTCGAGGGCTGCTGGTGGGTCCAGCGGAGTGAGACACCGCGCAGATCTGAGCGGCAGCTCGCCCCGTCCCTGGGAGGCTGCGATCTGCGAAACTGTCGCAACTTTCGACGGCTGCTGGTGGGTCCAGCGGAGTGAGGCACCGCGCAGATCTGAGCGACAGCTCGCCGTCCCTTGGGGGCTGCGACCGGCGAAATTGTCGCCAGTTTCGAAGGCTGCTGGTGGGTCCAGCGGAGTGAGGCATCGCGCAGATCTGAGCGGTAGCTCGCCGTCCCTTAGGGGCTGCGATCTGCGAAATTGTCGCCACTTTCGAAGGCTGCTGGTGGGTCCAGCGGAGTGAGGCACCGCGCAGATCTGAGCGGTAGCTCGCCGTCCCTTAGGGGCTGCGATCTGCGAAATTGTCGCCACTTTCGACGGCTGCTGGTGGGTCCAGCGGAGTGAGGCACCGCGCAGATCTGAGCGGTAGCTCGCCGTCCCTTAGGGGCTGCGATCTGCGAACCGATCGCCACTTTCGAGGGCTGTTTTTTGGGTCCAGCGGAGTGAGGCACCGCGCAGATCTGAGCGGCAGCTCGCCGTCCCTTGGGGTCTAAGATCTGCAAACCTTTCGCCACTTTCGAAGGCTGCTGGTGGGTCCAGCGGAGTGAGGCACCGCGCAGATCTGAGCGGCAGCTCGCCGTCCCTGGGGGGAGCGATCTGCGAAACGTTTGCCATTTTCGAGGGCTGCGGGTGGGTCCAGCGGAGTGAAGCACCGCGCAGATCTGAGCGGTAGCTCGCCGTCCCTGGGGGGGGCGATTTGCGAAGCTGTCGCAACTTTCGAGGGCTTCTGGTTGGTCCAGCGGAGTGAGGCAACGCGCAGATCTGAGCTGTAGCTCGCCGTCACTTGGGGGCTGCGATCTGCGAAATTGTCGCCACTTTCAAGGGCTGCCGGTGGGTCCAGCGGAGTGAGGCACCACGCGGACCTGAACGGACCTCGCCGTCCCTCTGGGGCTGCGATCCGGAAATTCTTGCCACTTTCGAGGGCTGCTGGTGGGTCCAGCGGAGTGAGGCACCGCGCGGATCTGAGCGGCAGCTCGCCGTCCCTGGAGGGCTGCGATCTGCGAAACTGTCGCCACATTCGAGGGCTGCTGGTGGGCTCGCCACTTTCGAAGGCTGCTGGTGGGTCTAGCGGAGTGAGGCACTGCGCAGACCTGAGCTGGGCCTCGCTGTCCTTGGGGGGGCATGTCATGCTGTTGCTGCCCCGCCGACGTTTCAAGCCCCTTGCCCACCGTCTCCTTTCAAACCTTGCGTCTTCCGTGATGACTCAGAGGTTCACTTAGTTACTCATCGTGTTTCCCTTGATTGGGGGCCTGCTAACCTTCCGAATGCCGCTCGCAGAAGTATGTGCGTCCATGTCACGACGCCGCCTTCTCGTCAAATCTCCCAAGCTCCTCCTGCCCCACATTGCGCAGGGGTTGGGTACGTCGCCAGGGTAATTTTTGACTACTTTTGAATCGTCCTCCTGTAGAGGAGCAGGCCAAACTTGAGTCTAGGGCCTCGGGTGGTGATTTCGTCGCGGTACTCCTGATTTTCGCGCCGTTGGGTCTGGGGCAGAGTGGGCGGTCCCGCTCGGAAGGCTGGGGAGGAGGCACGGCTGTCCAGGCCTCCTCCGAAAAGGCGGAGGAGGCTTCTCTGAAGGCCAGAGGGCCTCCGAGAAGCCCCGCCGCCGCCTGCCCCCTCTCACTTCCCCCCTGAGGGGGGGAGGCGGGGGCGTCCGGCAGGGGGATGTCCAAGAGGCGGGGGCGCAAATCATGGCCAGCGGCACGTGGGCGGCCCAGGGGGGGGGCCGGGGACGTCATGAACTCAGAAGACTCAGAAGAGGCGCCCAGACATGGGGAACTATCATGGCCCCCGCCGCGATGTCCACCCCTCCCCCTGGTCATCACCCCCCTCTTTGCCGCCCCCGAGGGAGGGAGAGGGGTGGCCGGTGAAGAACAAAGCGCCGGTGCACGGGACCCGAAGAGGCGGCACAGGAAGCGAAGGGCGAAGGGAGCGCCGGTGCAGGGGCCCGCAAGGTGGCACGGGAAGCGAGAGACAAAGCAGGCGCCTCGCACGCCGGTGTCGAGCGCTCTCGGCACGACGCCAGGCCGCCTCAGCCGCTTTCGACGCAGCGGCACGACAGCCACGATGCCGCACGAGACCCAAACTACAACGGGCACCGCCCCTGATCATACCAGATCAGCTCAGGAGGGAGAACACACACACACACACACACACGAATGATCGCCGATTCCCAGGAAGATATTAGTGTTAAGTCGGGCCTGTCCCTCTACAGGCGGAATAACTTCAAAAATAGTAAAGAATGGTCTGGGGACGATGTTTGAGTATTTTTCTGCTGTTCTGAACAGTTTGGGGGCATGTTTTAGCATTCCTCCAGAATCCGCCGGTAGGAGGACACGCCCGACCAAAATTTTGGTGCGCCCCTGGGCCCCTCGATCGAGGACTGCCCCTGGCAGCCGCCCGTGCGCTGTGTGTGCAGCCCCTGGCACCCGCCCAGGCGAAGAGCGGGCACCCGCCCAGGCGATGCTTTACCCTTCCTCCGAAACCCGCCCTGCAGGAGGACACGCCCGACCAAATCTTGGTGCGCCCCTGGGCCCCCTCGATCGAGGCATGCCCCTCTGCAGCCGCCCGGGCGCTGTGTGTGCAGCCCCTGGCATCCGCCCAGGCGAAGAGTGGGCATCCGCCCAGGCGATGCTTTAACCCTTCCTCCGAAACCCGCCTGCAGGAGGACACGCCCGACCACATCTTGGTGCGCCCCTGGGCCCCCTCGATCGAGGCCTGCCCCTCTGCAGCCGCCCGGGCGCTGTGTGTGCAGCCCCTGGCATCCGCCCAGGCGAAGAGTGGGCATCCGCCCAGGCCCCTGGGCCCCAGGCGCCCCTGGGCCCCCTGGGCCCCCTTGATCGAGGACTGCCCCTGATCGAGGACTGCCCCTGGGCCCCCTCGAGATCGAGGCCCGCCCCTCGGCAGCCGCCCCTGCGCTGTGTGTGCAGCCCGTGGGCCCCCCCCCCCCCGGGGAGGGCCCTGCGCCCGCCCCCACCAAGGGGGCGGCGGCTGCTCGGCCCAGGGCCCCTCCCCGAGAGGGCCCCCCTTGGCCCGAGGGCGGCCCCCTGGCCATCGCTTGGGCGTCCATTTCCTGTGTTTTTTTTTGGTTTCGTGCGTGGCTGTTTCTTTCTTTTTTATCATTCTCTTTTCCGTAACAGAATCCTCCTCGTTGCACTCCGTTGGCCAGGCTTTCCGCCCGAGACCTCATCACCCAGGAAGATGATCAAGGATGCGCACACGTCCGAGCGATGCCAAGCCCCTCGAGGCCGGAGCCGGAGACGGAAACCGCCCAGACCTCAGGTCGGGCACGTGCCCCTGCAGGGAGATGCTGGGCGGGAGATGACAGGGGCAAAAAACATGTCCCGAAATAGTCGACAAGAATAGCCCAGACTCAGGTCGGGCATGTCCCCCTGCAGGGAGGTCTTGGACGGAAGATAGCATGGGCAAAAAGCATGTCCCGAAAGAGTCGACACGAACCGCCCAGACCTCAGGTCGGGCACGTGCCCCTGCAGGGAGATGTTGGGCGGGAGATAACATGGGCGAAAAGCATGTCCCGAAAGAGTCGACAAGAATAGCCAGGCAAGCATCGTCCCTGGACTATGTTTGGACGATTTGGGGATCTTCCTCCTGTAGAGGGACGCTTCCGACTTATAAGCCCAGGCTTATGATGTTCCAACCTTCTAGCCTTGATCACCAGAAAAAAATCGAGCACCAGAAAAATAGCAAAACTCTATGGTTTTCACGTGTCGGGCCCTGGGAGACACTCGTCCGACACTGTTTCGCCACTCTTTCGACACTTTTCCGGGTGCTCGAAATTGTTTCTGGGATGTGGTCCTCAGTACGATGGGGGCAACTTAAGCCCAGGCTGAAAACGCATCGTCGCCGGAGATCCGGGCCGAGTGAAGCAGCACCGCGCCCACGGCGCAGGAGGGCGCGGGCGCACGCTCGCGCCGCCAGGGGGAGCACCGCGGCGGGAGGCGCAGAGGCGGGGGCCCATGCACCGACGTGGCTCCGTCACCCTCGACCCCTGGCTCTTTCAAGCAGCGCCACGAGGGTTCCCCTCCCCCTCCTCCCCCTCCTCCTCCTCCTCCTCCCCCTGCTCCTCCTCCTCCTCCTCCTCCTCCTCCTCCTCCTCCTCCTCCTCCTCCTCCTCCTCCTCCTCCTCCTCCTCCCCCTCTCGCCGCGGCAGCCGCCTGCCCAGTGCCAAGGAGTCCCTCGGCGAAAAGTCACGTCGTCGGAGATGCGGGCCCCGGCCCAGGCCCGTCAAAAGTCAATCACCGCCCGGCCCGAGGCGAAGGCGAGCACCGCAGCTGGAGGCGCAGCAATTCGATAGGGGGGCCCATGCACCGGCGCGGCGCTACACGGCGAAAACTGTTTTGATCGACGGCGCCTTGGATCCAAGCTTCGGCGTCGGACAAACCTCCCTTCAGTAAACCACCCTGTAGCGAACACGGCCCGGGACCGAAACCGACGGACCTGGACACGCAAAAATAACGGCCGCGACGCCCTCTCGCGCGCCGAAAACGGCCACCTCACGAATCGACGTGTCAGGGTAGGAGGTCTACACCCTGCGAAATGCTTAAGAAATCATGGGTTAAGAAATTCATAGTCTCAGAACTTGAATAAAAACCCAACCTTTCTGTTAAAATCTTAAGATTTACATTGAAACGTTAAGAATAATCGAGACTCTGGCCGAAAACTTAGGTTTTCTAAAGCATCGCCTAAGGTGTATCAACCTCCGAAAGCTGCGGCCAAGCAGCGGCAGGGCTGCTGCGGTCCCGAGCGCAGCACGCACGCGGAAGGGCCACGGGACGAGAGGGGCCGCAGACGGCCGGAGCGCCCTCACGGCGGGAAGCGCGGCGGGCTGCGCCGGAACGGGCTCGTCAGGCCCTCGCAGCTGTCAGCGCGTGTCGCCCGAATACATCTTCGGGCAGGGACCGACCGTCCCGGCATTCCCATAGTCCTACCACGAAACGTTCTTAGAATCCAAAAAATGTTCGAAGAACAAAAACAATGCTCTTGGAACATAAACCCCAGTGTTAAAACAAGACGTGAGCCGGCTCGGGGGGTGAGCATCGAGCTCATATCGGCGACACGGATCGCCGATAGGTCGGCAATGAACGGTTTCCCCCGGGGCCGTAGGCGACCCGAGGACGAGAAGGAGGAGGAGGAGGAGGAGGAGGAGGAGGAGGAGGAGGAGAATGGAGGAGGAGGAGGAGGAGGAGGAGGAGGAGGAGGAGAAGGGGAGGAGGAGGAGGAGACAGGAGGAGAGGACGGGTCGCCTGAGCCCTTCGGAGAAACCCTCCAGTCGACGATGCAGACCCATGATAATGAGCCCGCACGCTCCTGGCCGGGGGCTGGGCTATCGGGCCCCTCCTCGGCGATGAATGGACGCCTGGGGGTCGGTGCGTTGCCCCCCCGAGCCTACCGCCCCTAACGTTGCCTCTAACCTCCGCTCCCTGGCCTTCGGTCGGGGATCTACGGACCCAGGTCGATCCAGACCCGGGTCGGTCAAGATTGCGGGATCCGGCAAAATCCTGCAAGCTCCCGCAGGCTCCTGCACCCAAACCAGGGTCAATGCAGCCCTGGTCATGCAGGATCCTGCAAGACCCGGCGCTCCCGTTTGCAGCGACCCCCGTTTGCAGGCGACCCCCGTCGCCAGGCTCCCGACTCGGGCCACACCTCTGGCCACCGGCGGCCGTTCGGGACGATTCGGGCAGCCCCGGAGCGCTCTCGGCGGGGCGCGGCGGCCAGAGAGCACCCCGAGACGGGGAAGCAGACGAGCACGGACGAGAGCGTCCGGAAACCGAGCCTCGAGCCTGCCCCGCCCCTGAGCCTCTCACCCTCGAAAGCCTCGAGCCTGCCACCACAGTCGGGGGGTTGGCCTCAGGAACACTCGAATAAGGAACGACGCCCCTGTCTCCCATAAGCTAAACTTCGGCGTCCCATCGAAGACCTAAGGAAAACGTGAGGCAAGCTGTGAACCAAGTAAGGAACACCCAGCCCCTTCCCAACGAAAAGGGTTCCTTGTTCAGCGCCCCGATGTTACTGGGATCCCCCGAAGCAGAAACCACCTCAAGAAAGCGAAACACAAATACAAAGAGACAGCAGAAAGTGCTGCCTCTTTGCATTTGTAGGGAAATGCTTGTTGCCAAAATGAAGCCAAAATGGAGTCGAACTGTGTGTTGCGCTTCCGTATTGCTTCTTGTATTGCCTTTTTTTGCTGAGCGTGTTGAAGAACGCTGACTGCTTTTTTCACAGAACTTGGTACAGTAGGAACTCGCCAACAAGAAACCTTCCACAGTGAAAAGCCCAACCCTGAGACCCCAGGACGCCCATTGGCTTTTGGCGTTGAAGTGTCACGCTTCCCACTGCAAGAAAACCATCGTAACCCGAGAAGCCCATGGCACCCTGGAGGCAACCAGGGTGGTTCTTGGCATGGACTTCCACTGCACCGACGAAGCAACGCCGCCGTTCTATTTCCGCCGCCCCCCGCCCGCTCTCGCACAGGGGGCGAGACGCGCCGAAAGCGAGGCCCCGTCTGGACTGTGCAAGCCCAGGCCCCCGACGTCGCGGTTTTGTTCGCAACGCTGGAGCGAAGCCAGGACGGGGAGAAACTCGGGCACAGCAGGAGCTCGACCACGAGGAACCTTCCACCGGAAACCCAACCCCGGAGCCCGCTTGGGCCGTGTTGTCTTGAGTCCGTTTAGAGCTAGCCGAAATCTGATGAACGTCCTCGGCGCCAATTGACACACGGGATCGCTATCATACAGGACCCTACCGAAGCGACCTGGTATGCGGCCAACGCACATGCGGCCAGCCAGACGCGGCTCCCCTTGAGGTGGGCGGGGGGAGGGGGGGGCAAACCATAGCCAAAACGGTCAATCCGATACCTCCTCCTCCTCCCCCTCCTGAAACATGGCCCCTGGTGGCACTGGAATTCGTAACACGAACGATGACAGACCGCCCCCACCCCCAGCGACCTTCGCCGCTAGACGCGCGGGATGAAAATCATCTTCTCGTTTGTTCTGTCACTTTCTACTAAACCCCAACTTCCACCGACACCAGGGGGCACCCCCAGCAACAACTCCGTCAATGTCGCCTTCAAGCGTGGCGCACTCACAGCTGGCTCACCGCGAGTAAGGGCATCTCGGAGCCAAAGATTCCGAGGATGTCTCCAGCGAAACGGGCCTGAACACCTCGCGAGCCATGTCTCAGAACCCAGAGTTGTGAGAAGGTCTCAAGAGAACCGGGCCAGAGCACCTCAATTCAAGGCGTCTCGCAATAGCCCGGGGTTCGAAGGATGTCTCAGGCGAGACAGGACGGGCCTGAGCACCTCGCGAACCACACACTCAGACCCAGAATTGCCGTCATGTCTCAGGCGAGGCGAGCCAGAGCAGCTCGCGAGCCGCAAGCCAAGCGGGCCAGAGCAATTCAAGGCAAGTCGCCTCGGAGCCCGGAGCTCCGAGGACGTCTTAGGCGAAACGGGCCTGAGCACCTCGCGAACCGCATCTTCAACCCAGGGTTGCGAGGACGGTCAGGCCAAACGGTCAGAGCCAGGGATTCCGAGTAGGCGAAACGTGCCTGAGTACATCGCGAACCACATCTTGGAGCCCAGAGTGGTGAGGACGTCTCAAGCGATACGGGCCACAGCACCTCAACTCAGGGCATCTCGAAACCTGGGGTTCGGAGGATGTCTCAAGCGAACAACGTAATGAAAATGTCTCACGTGAAACGGGACTGAACATCTCAAGTCAGGGCATCTCGGAACCGGGGTTTCCGGGGACGTCTCAAGCGAAACGGGCCTGAGCACCTCACGAATCGCATCTTCAACCCAGAGTTGCAAGGACGTCTCAGGCAGCCAGAGGTTCCGAGGATGTCTTGGGCGAAACATGCCTGAGTACCTCTCGAACCACATCCCGGAACCCAGAGTGGTGAGGACGTCTCAAGCAGTACGGGCCAGATCACCCCAACTCAGGGCATCTCGCAGTAGCCCGACGTTCGGAGGATGTCTCAGGCGAGCCAGGCCTGCGTACCTCGCGAACCACGTCTTGGGACGTCTTCAGCGAGACGAGCCAGAGCACATCAAGTCAGCGCATCTCGGAGCCCGAGGTTCCGAAGATGGCTCTCTGTGGGCCATGGGGCGCGCCCAGCTCTTCTGAGGGCAACTCCTCCCTGGCACATCCCCGGCACCACAGCTGGGGTTGCGGGGGTCGCCAGAGGAGCTGTCCCTGGCGACACGGGCACACGGGCTCGGGTGCACTGCTCCCCTCGCCAGCCAAGGCAAGACCTGGATGGGGCCCGAGACAGATCCCAAAGCCAACCGAAATGGCCAGCGAGGACCATGCGGCCCCGAAACGCACCACCATCCCGTAAAACAAAGGGACCGATCGAAACATCCCCACAATCTGGGCGCGAACGGGCCCGTGACACACCCTTCGTCCGCAGAGCACTGGCCCGCATCACTAGGCACGATCGAACCGCGTCCAGCCCTGGCGACGAGAAGTTTCCCGAGAGCATTGAAACAATGATACTTGTCTGACAGCAATACGAGAATTACCCTTCCTCCCCTTCGTCCTCAGTCATCCTGCTACTCCTCCTCCTCCTCCTCCTCCTCCTCCTCCTCCTCCTCCTCCCCTCCTCCTCCTCCTCCTCCTCCTCCTCCTCCTCATCCTCCCCCTGCTCCTCCTCATCCTCCTCCTTCTCCTCCTCCTCCTCCTCCTCCTCCTCCTCCTCCTCCTCCTCGCCCCCTGGGGCCGCCTCTTGTCCGAGCTCCCCTTCTTGGGGGCGGCGCTCTGCTCGGAGGAGCTCCTGGGCTTCTCCTGCGCGGGGGCAGCACGGCCGAAGGGGAAGGGCCCTGGCTGCAGACCATTCTGGGCCTCCCAGCTGTTTGGAGTCCCGAAACGGTGCGGTGACAGACCGTGCGGTGACCTCGAAATCCCCCAAGACCTCAACGCACGGTCCGTCACCGCACGGTCTTGGGACCCCGGAGGCCCCTGTCGCACGAGACATCCTCGGAGAACGACCCGAGTCCCAAAACCGTGCGGTGACCCCGAATCCCCACCGACTCACCGCACGGTGTGGTCACCGCCCCGTTTGGGGGCCCCCGAAGCTGGAGCACCGCGGGGTCGTGTCGTGTCGACCCCGGTGTTGGTTCTTAACACCGCGGGGATCGTTCAACCTTGACCGATCGGCCCTCTCTGAAAATGTCAGATCCTGCATCATCGACCCATGCCGAGTCGGGGTTGCAGGCGGCTTGCAACGTTGAACGCCGGCGGCGGGGTCGCCGCCGGTTGACACGAGGCGAACCGACCGTAGATGGGGTCGGAAAATCGCGCCGCATCGCCGATGCATCGGCAATATCGCTCGATGTGGAGCCCGGCTTCCTCCACGGCGACGTCGCCGATGCATCGGCGATGTACCGGCGGTGCGGCGCAATCCTCCGACCCCATCCACTCGGACTCCCCCTAGGAGGCCTCTGAAAACATTGGATGCTCCTCGTGGGAGCTCTCTGGAGACACTCGCTCCACTCGTGCGTCGATGCTGCGTCGAACGCCCGTTGGGGCTTGAGCCGAGCCCGAGTCTGGGCCGCCTACCGTCGCGCATCGCGCCCCCCGCTGCGCGAATTATCCTCGCGCCCGCGCCCCCGCGCGCCGCCGCCCAGCCGGGCAGCCGCGCTGGCCCAGTCCGCGACGCGCGCAGGTCAGTGACCTTCGCGACCCTGGGGGGGACCTGGTGCGTCGAGCTTGAGCCGAACTGACACGAAGCCAGTGCGGGAGGCTGACGGCTGGGTCTGCGCGATCCACCCTAGCGCGGCCGCTTGCCCCGAGGCCGCGCCGGCGACGCACGCCGACGGCGCCTACGGCCGCCGCTGCCTGGCGAGCCAGATTTCGGAGAGCACCCCTCAACATGCCTGCAAGAGGCGAACCGAAGTCGAGCTAGTCGGACTGGACTCGAACGAGTCGAGCAGATCCATTGGGGGGGCCCAAGAAGGGCTCCCAGAACGACCATCGAAAGACCAGATCAGGAGGAGGGAGGAGTGAGGATTGAGGAGAAAAGAATGAGCATTGAGGAGTGAGGAGTGAGGAGAGAGAGGAGGAGGAGGAGGAGGAGGAGGAGGAGGAGGAGGAGGAGGAGGAGGAGGAGGAGGAAGAAGGAGGAGGAGGAGGAGGAGGGGAGGAGGAGGAGGAGGAGGAGGAGGAGGATGGAGGAGGAGGAGGAGGAGGGGAGGAGAGGGAGTGAGGAGGGAGGAGAAAGAGGAGGAGGAGGAGGAGGAGGAGGAGGAGGAGGAGGAGGAGAGGAGGAGAGGAGAGGGAGAAGGAGGAGGAGGAGAGGAGGAGGAGTGAGGAGGAGGAGTGAGGAGGAGGAGAGTGAGGAGGAGGAGGAGGAGGAGGAGGAGGAGGAGTGAGGAGCAGTGAGGAGGAGGAGGAGGAGGACGAGGACGAGGAGGAGGATGAGGAGGAGGAGGAGGAGGAGGAGGAGGAGGAGTGAGGTGGAGGAGGAGGAGGAGGACGACGAAGAGGAGGAGGAGGAGGACGAGGAGGAGGAGGGGGGCGCCGGCTCAGGGGAGAGCGTCAGGGGCCCAGGCATGCCCGCGTCGTGACAGAATCACGGCGGGAGGGCTGTGGCAGCCCGTGGCCTCCGGGGGCATCGGTGGGCTCCGACAGAGGAGGGAGGAGGAGGCTCCCTCCTCCCTGAGCAGACGAGCGCGCATGGCCTGGATCCGCCGTGGGTGATCTGCGATAAGATCCCATCGAGGAAGACAGGATTTGTGTCGGACGTATGCGAGTACGTAGACACTTTGCGAAGTGGTGGAACGCGCTCGTTGACCGAGTTTAAAACGCTCTCCTTCGTCAACCGACCCCTCGCCCCGCCCCCGGCTCCTTCCCTTGGAGCGCTGGGGGACGGGGCCTCCGGGACGCGGTTGGTAGTGCGGCAGTGCCAGAGCCGACACCGTCGGCTCCGGCAGGGCGGCGATCCCTTTGAGACGGGCCGATCTGTGGACGGGGGCCTGCAGCTCGTAACAACAAGGTGTGGCCGGCCATCGGCGGTCCTGGCTTTGGGCTTGCCTATGCGGCCGAGGCTTCGAAGTCGCTTTCGGGAACCAGTGCGCTCACAGGGTCCTGGACGTCCTTCCTGCAGAATATATCCTCTCCAGCTCCAGCTGCCTCCCCCAGGGCATCAGGGCACCTGGAAGAGTATACACCTCTAGCACAGCTTCCCAGCCAAGTTTCAATGCGTCCGAAAACTCTGTCTCACCACACTCTTCGTCCGCTGGCATTGCCCCAACACTCCAGACCCAAAGAGGAGGACGAGCACGACGCCGACGACGACGACGACGACGACTAAGCATTACATCTCTCAAAGTTGTAAAGACGCCTCGCCTTGCGCGCGTCATCCTTGTAACCTTCCCTGTGGCGTTCCAACTGTAACGGGTGATAACCGAAGGAGGAACGAACAAGAGAACCAGTATCGGAGCTCCGCTGTGTCGACCACACACACACGAGCCTTCGCCTCGCCTGACTGAATGCATCCCGGCTCTGGCTGAGATTATCCGCCACCGTGCCTCCAGGCACGTTGAGGCGTGGAAGAATGCCAATGGCTGGCTGGCAGGGTCTCTGTAGACCTCTAAGGGGCCCGCCCGCCCCTCACGTCGCGACCACTTCCGTGCACAACCCCTGCTCCTGGAGGTCCTTGGGCGGCCATGGCGTCTACCTGGGCTGGCACGGTGGCCCGACTTGCCGTGGACAGCTGGATGTCACTTCGCGCCGAGGGCCTGCTAATCCAAGGAGGAGGAGGAGGAGGAAAAGGAGGAGGAGGAGGAGGAGGAGGAGAAGGTAATCCTCCAAACGCGAGGACGCACCCGCCGCCAGCCCGCGTCACAAACGTCCCCCGAACTGCCCCACCCCCGCCGTGGCCTTCTTCTTCTTGGCCTTCTCAGCCTGGGTGGCCTTCTTGGCCTCCTCAGCCTCCGCCAGAGGGAGGGAGACACGGCGCGGGGGGGTCTCGCTCTCCACCACAGGCAACTCCATCCTCAAAGTCAAAGCGACCTCCCACGCCAGCGCGCAGGGCACAGGGGCGCAGAAGGTGGAGGGTGGTGGCTCTGGCAGGCGAGGGGGGGGCCTCCCCCAACCCGGGGGCAGCCAATGAGGATACCGATGCCGCCCGTCCCCGGACCTCTCCCTGGGCGCGTCCGGGCCAGGACTTCAAGGCGAATCCGGCGGTGGCGACAAGGGCCCCCCCGTGGGAACAGAAAGTCAAAAACGGGCGAGGGATACCGGCAGCGGTACGTGCCTCTTCCTCCTCTGACCAGGCTCGAGCTAAACCGCGTTTCCCCCAGTCGGTTTGTTGTCGTGGTCCGCATGTTTGTCTTCGTTGCGAGGCGGGGATTTTTATCCACATCCACTGCCAGGGAAACGACATCCTGGTGCCCCAGCGGGCGGTGGATATGGTTACATGTTGGCCCAGGGGGGCCCGAACATGTCCATATCCACCGCCTGCGGAGGTCCGCGAAGATCGATCCCCGCCTCGGATTCGTTGTGCCTCTGCTGCGAAGGGAACTGAAAACGAAAGCGGCCCACGACATCGCCAGGTGAGTTTTTGATCGACATCGGGCGGCCAGGGGGGGGGTCTGGCTCCGGACCTCTGCTTAATTGCGACCGCTTGCAAGAGTGCGGCCTCTGGGGGAGGCTGCACCCGCTCGAGACAGGCGCCAACAAAAACAGCCAAGATCTACTCCGCGGGGGAGGGAGGGAGGGGGGGGGGGTGCTGTGTGTAAGTGGAGACGGCCGAGGGGCCGCTCCCATGCGGGGCCCGCAGGTGGAGGCAAGGAGGAGGACTCCTCCTTCCAGGGCGCGGCACAGGGGCCAGTGCACTGCCAGCGTCAGGGCCAACACCTGAGCCGATGCAGCTGCGGCACGTGATGATAGAATAGGGGACGTGAGCGGACTTCACACACTGGATTGCAAAAAAAACCGAAGGAATGCAAGAAAACCCTGGGTTTTTTGCAATCCGAGGTTTTTTTGCAATCCAGGGTTTTTTTGCAATCCTTCGAAGGGTTTGTTTGCAATCCTTCGTTTGTTTGCAATCCTTCGTTTTTTTGCAATCCTTCGTTTTTGTTGCAATCCTTTTTTTGCAATCCTTCGTTTTTTTGCAACCCTTCTTGCAATCCTGGGTTTTTTTGCAATCCTGTTTTTTTTGCAATCCTGGGTTTTTTTGCAATCCTTCGGTGCACGGGCCCGCGCCGATCGGCAGAACAATGCACAACAGAAACGACCACCGGGGAGCACCCCGCCGCTCCAGCAGCCCTGCCTCGGACATCTCCGCCCCGCCCTCCGCGCGGGCTCGCCCGCCCCCGCCCTGCCCCCGAGGTGCCGCGGCGAGGCGCCCGGAGCTGCGGCGGGCAGGCCGTCCGCCTCCTGCGCTCGAGCGCTCGCTCGCTCCTCCTCCTCCTCCTCCTCCTCCTCCTCCTCCTCCTCCTTTTTCTCCTCCTCCTCCTCCTCCTCCTATCCTCCTCCTCCTCCTTGTTCACCTCCTTCTGCTCGTCGTCATCCTCCTCCTCCTCCTCCTCCTCCTCCTCCTCCTCCTCCTCCTCGTCATCATCATCATCAGCAGCAGCAGCATCATCAGCATCCTCATCCTCCTCCTCCTCCTCCTTCTCCTTTTCTTTTTCTCCTGCTCGTCGTCATCCTCCTTCTCGTCCTCCTCCTCCTCCTTTTCCTCCTCCTCCTCGTCCTTATCCTCCTTCTCCAAAAACGAAGCTGCGGCCGCACGGTGCGGCGTGCATCTTGCTGCGGCCGCCGAGCTGGCGGCCGCGAGGCCGACTGGCGCGCGGCGCTGCGCGCGCGCCAGGTGCAGCGCCCGCCGTCGCCGGACTGAATTCGGAAGTCGGGCGGCCTGTGTGCAGGCCGCGTGCCCCTCCTCGACCGCTGCTAACCTGCCGCTGGGCTTCTTTGATGGATAAGGTGCGATGGCCGAACTTAGGATAGAGGTACCATCCTTCAAGAACATGAGATCCTCCGCCGGCCAAGCTGAAGAGCATTAGAGGCAACCCTCCCCCAGAATGCACGAGATCACCCAACAAACACGAGGAACATTTGGGTACACTCCCCGAATCGACCTCGATCTTGTACCTCGGTCCGACCGTGCCTGCCTGCTGCTGGCCACGTGCCAAGCTGCCTCAAATCTCTGGTCTGCGTAAGGCCTCTGAGAGAGTCTGCCCCTGCTCCTGTTCCTCCCTCCTCCAGCCCCAAACTCGGGAGGTGCTGCAGGTGACCCTGGCCCAAACTACCCCGAGCTGTTCGCTCCATTTTCGAGCACCTGGGGCCCTCTGGGCCTCGTGAGGGGTTCTCCGGAGGCCGTGGACACCTCCTTGGAAATCCTGGGGGCGCCTTAGACCAGGGGCACTTCTAGAACAGCCGACATACGGAAGACCTCCGAAGATCCATCCGACCGCACCTCGCGGCACTCCGACTCGAGGCAGGACCCTCCCGCAGGGCCTCCCCCGGCCCCCTGCCTCCGAAGACCCAAGCGCACATGGACAAGCAGCACGTCTTCGCTCGAGCCGCGATGGCCGTCTGCTGCTCGCCGGGCAGATGTAGGGAACTGAACGATGACATCAGCATACCAGCTCGGAGGTCTGCGCGGATACCTTGATCGGCGCTGGACCCCTTGGCAGCGCCTCCGGCGCCGCCCCTGGCGCGCTCCACGCGCCAGCGCGCCAGGGAGGGGGGGGTCTAGCTCCGATCCAAGAAATCTGCGCGGACCTCCAAATTGGTAAGTTTATGCCATCGTTTAGTTCCCTCGGATGCCGCGCAGACTTCTGGCTCGCCTCCACTTCCTGGATTGACCTCCGAGACCGAGGCCAAGACGAGATGCCGGCAGCCGTTTTCACGGCTCCTCCCAGCGGGGCGCAGCGTCGACAGGAGCCGCCTTTCCTGGATTGCCCTTCTGAGGGGGTTGGCTGCGGCGCTGTCTAGTAAGACTTTCGCGCGGGCTCCTCGAATCGGCACAGCCCACCCCCCCTGCTGCGCGGAGTTCGCGCCAGCTCCGATCCAAGAAAATCCGCGCGGATCTCCGAAAGCTTGCGATCATTCAGTTGCTTCTTCGTATTAGTTTTGGTGTTATCATTCGTCTTATTAGCAGTCATATTATGACCATTCGTATTCATCCTCTGTATCTTCGACTGTCACTGATCTCTCTTCCACCCGCCCTGGAATGCCGGGAGCCTTCTGGGCCTCCTCTGCGACCCTCTTCTCTGCCGTCGCGGCATCCCGCTCGGCCGACTGCACCGCGCCCTCCGCGGACGTGAGCTGCGCCTTGAGATCCAACGCTGGCGCCTCCTCCTTCTGAGTCTCCGACCTTCTCGTCGTCCACATCCTCCTCTCCTCCTCCTCCTCCTCCTCCTCCTCCTCCTCCTCCTCCTCCTCCTCCTCCTCCTCCTCCTCATCCTCCTTCTCCTCCTCCCCCTCCTCCTCATCAGCAACAGCAGCATCCTCCGCATCATCAGCACCATCATCAGCTTCATACTCATCATCAGCATCACCAGCGTCGCCATCATCACCACCACAAGCAGCAGCAGCCGCCGCAGCCGTTGCATCGTCATCATCCCCGAAATCCCACCAGCCCCCTGGGCGCAGGTGGTCTGGCGAGCTTCCTCGTCCGACCCCCTTGCTTCGACCTCGGGGAGGGGCTGACCCCTCCTCCTTACCCCCCTCCCCCGGACCTGGACGGGGAGGGCCGCGACGCGTTGGAGCATCCAAAACGGCCTCGGCGACAAAGCCTAATTCACTGGTTCTACTTGGGTGTTAGCCCCAGAGGATCCCCGAAGCGCCCAAGATGCCCCCCAGACGCTCAAAGAGGCCCCCCCGAAGCACCCAAAACGCCCAAGAGCCACCCAAGACCGCCAAGAGACCCCCAAGACGTCCCAAGGGATCGCCCGGGCGATATCCCAAGAGGCTCCGAGAGGCATCCAAGAGACCTCTGGCCCTTTTGCTCGCCCACCTCCTCCTGCTCATCCTTCCTCCTGCTGCTTCTCGTCCTCCTCCTCCTCCTCCTCCTCCTCCTCCTCCTCCTCCTCCTCCTCTCCTCCGTCCTCCTCACCTCCTCCTCCTCCTCCTCCTCCTCCTCCTCACCACAACCACCACCACCACCACCACCACCACCATCATCATCATCATCATCATCATCATCAGCAGCAGCAGCATCATCAGCATCATCATCATCATCATAATCATCATCATGGTCATCAGCATCATCATCATCATCATCACCACCACCACCATCAACATCAACAGCAGCATCTTCATCATCATCATCAGCAACATCATCATCAGCATCACCATAACCAGCATCGATGTTCACCGCCTCCAGGGCCGTCCGAAATTGCTCGAGCGCGCCGGCCCGCGTCACGCGCTCTTGCGAGGCCCATGGAAACCGCCGCCGCAACTTTCGGGCAGCCGTCGGGGCGAGTGCGAAGGGAGGAGGAGGGGAGGAGCAGGAGATCGAAGAACTGGAGGCAAGCAGGGTGCTTCTTGGCATGTGCTTCCCCTGTTCGCGGAGGCCCGCGCGTACTGGATCGGCGTTGGACTCCCCTGGAAGCGCCTCCGGCGCTGCCCCTGGCGCGCTCCGCGCACCATGGAGGGGGTTCAGACTAAGTGTTAATAGTATCCCGGCAAAGCAACCTAACAGCGATGTGTAGGAGCATATCTGGAAGCATTCCCCTAAAGAGCATCATCACCAACAACAGCATCAGCATCATCACCAGCAACAGCATCATCATCATCATCAGCACCATCATCACCATCACACTCACCATCACCATCACCATCACCAACACCATCCTCATTCTCTTCACCATCACCACCACCACCACCACCATCAGCATCATCAGCATCATCATACTCACCCTCACCCTCACCCTCCTCCTCATCCTCATCATCATCCTCATCACCATCATCATCATCATCATCATCATCATCATCATCATCATCATCATCATCATCACGTATCATCATCATCATCATCATCATCATCATCATCATCATCATCATCATCATCATCATCATCATCATCATCATCATCATCATCATCATCTACGTCATCATCGTCATCAGCATCACCATCCTCATCAGCATCAGCAGTATCATCATCACCACCACCACCACCATCGCCACCATCAGTATCATCATCAGCAGCATCATCACCAGCAGCATCATCAGCATCATCATCAGCATCATCACCAGCAGCATCATCAGCATCATCATCGGCATCATCACCATCATCGTCATCATCATCAACCTCATTATCATACTAGTCATTCGCATCAGCATCATCAGCATCGCCAGAATCGTCATTATACTCATCACCATCAACATCATCAGCAATATCAACATCATCATAATCAGCATACGGTTCCTCCGCATCATCAGCAGCATCGTCAGCATCCGCATCATCACCATCATCATCAGCATCAACAACATCATCATCGGAAGCAGCATCATCATCATCATCAGCATCGTCATCATCGTCATCATCAGATGCACCTTGCTTCTCCCAACGCCCTCTTCCATGTATACAGTCTCATGCTTGTTATCCTCCCTCCTTCGCACGGTTCGGCCGTCCACCTCTTTGCCGCCGCACTTCCCTGATCACCTCAACTCGCCTGGACATCGTGTCTGGCTGGGATGGTGGGGATACGATAAGCGTCTAGAATTATCATGATCCTACTGATCCGCATCCTCATCCTCACACTCATCATCATCATCATCATCCTCGTCATCATCAGCATCATCATCATCCTCAGCAGCCGCATCAGCATCAGCAGCAGCATCAACATCATCAGCATCCTCATCAGCAGCATCAGCAGCATCATCAGCATCATCAGCAGCATAATCCTTGTGTTCATCGTCCTCACCGTCGTCATCATCATCGTCATCATCATCACCACCAGCATCAGTATCAAACGCCTTATTATAATCATGATCGTGGTGACCATCAAAATCCGCATCATCACCATATTCAGTATCAGCATCAGCATCGTCAGCATCATCAGCATCGTCACCATCATAATCACCATCATAATCCCCATCGACATCATCACCATCAACATCAGCATCAGCATCATCATCAACCTCAACCTCAACCTCATCGTCATCATCATCATCATCATCATCATCATCATCATCATCATCATCATCATCATCATCATCATCATCATCATCATCATCATCATCATCATCATCATCATGACACCCCCACTGGGGCCTTCGGTGGAGCTCCCTATGGGGCCACGAAACGCTGCCCTGGGTGGGGGAACTGCATGCGACCACCCCCAGTAGGGCATTCGGTGGAGCTCCCTATGGGGCCACGAAACGCTGCCCTGGGTGGGGGAACCGCATGCGAACACCCCCACTGGGGCCTTCGGTGGAGCTCCCTATGGGGCCACGAAACGCTGCCCTGGGTGGGGGAACCACATGCGAACACCCCCACTGGGGCCTTCGGTGGAGCTCCCTATGGGGCTACGAAACGTGTGAGGGGTGTGCCGAGAGCAGAGGAAAGGAGGGGGAGGAGGGAGGAGGGGGAGGAGGAGGAAGGAGGTGGGACGCGGGGCGCTGTCTCTTCAAAACGAGGACCCAACACCACAGGATGGTTGGGAAAAAAATACATGCATCTCGGGGGGGGGGGCGTTCGAAATTCACTGAGGGCAGGGCGAACGAGAATGCAACCCGAAGGGGGTGCTGGAGAGCCCGCCCGCCTGATGCCCCCTCCGTGGAGCGGGGTGGGGCGTCCCCCCCTCTGTTCTGGGGGCGAGCGCACCTCGAGGGGTGGGGTGCTGGAGAGGTGCCCTCCCGCCGTCCTGGTTTCGGATCGCTGCTCCCCACTTCCACGGACGAGTCGGTCCTCCTGAGGGGGGCATTGGAAATGTGCCCAGATGTCCCGCCTCGTCCTCCTCCCTGTGATTTCGCCTTCTGTTCGCCGGGAGTTAGCCACTAGTTCTTAAGATAGCGGCCGCATGGTGGAAATGCTGCGCTGACAAAGCACGCCACGAGGATGGAGAGAGAGACAGGGAGAAAGAGAGAGAGAGAGCGGGAAAGAGCAAGAGAGAGAGAGAGAGTGGAGAGAGAGAGAGAGAGCGAGAGAGAACGAAGAAAAAACAGGGGAAGCAGCGTGTGCGTGTGAGACAGGGAGAAAGAGAGAGAGAGAGAGAGAAAGAGACAGAGAGAACAAAGAGATAGAGAGAGAGAGAGGAGAGAGAGAGAGAGAGAGACAGCGAGAGAGCGCGAGGAGGTGGCAGGCACCTGCTTCGGCGGCGAGCTCAGCGGGGCGAAGATGTGGGAGGAGAAGGGGCCCAAACGAGGCGCCAGTAGAGGAAGAAACAACCACATGAACATACACTTTCGACGGTCCGCGCCGATTTCTTGGATTTGCGCTGGGCCCCCCTCCCTGGCGCGCGGAGCGCGCCAGGGGCGGCGCTGGAGGCGCCGCCAGGGGGCCCCAGCGCGGATCCGAGAAATCCGCGCGGAGCGCCGAAAGCTTATGCGTATGTGTTTTATTATTATTCTTCTTCGTCGTCTTCTTCTTCTTCTTCTCCTCCTTCTTCTTATTATTCTTAGTATTATTATTACTATTCTTAGTATTATTATTACTACTTTTATTATGATTCCTCTTATTCTTATTATTATTATTCTTCTTCGAGCCAAGGGGGGGGACACGCCTGGGCGGCCGACAGCTCGGCGGCCGTCTTCTTGAGGCGCCCGCCCGCCTCGGGCGGCCGGCGTCGGAAGCGGCCCCCGGGGCTCTTCCTCCTCTCTGCGCTCCCTCCCCCCTCGCGCCTCCCCTCGCCTCCTCGCCCCCCCCCCCTCCCCACCTGCCCCTCGCCCCCTCCTCTCGCACCTCCCCCACCCCCTACTCTCCCACCACTCACCCCTCACCCAGCGTACCCCTCCCTGCATCCTTCCCCTCTCGCTTTCCCCCACCCCACCCCCCGCACGCACGCACGCACGCACGCACGCACGCACGCGCGCGCGCACTATACACAACACACGCACACGCACACGCACACGCACACGCACACGCACACGCACAGGCACACGCACACGCACACGCACACGCACACGCACAGGCACAGGCACGCGCACACGCACACGCACACGCACACGCACACGCACACGCACACGCACACGCCACGCACACGCACACGCACACGCACACGCACACGCACACGCACACGCACACGCACACACACACACACACACACACACACACACACGCATCTGCACGACGCACACACGCACGAACGCACACACGCACACGCACA